GAGGGCGGACTCCCTATAAGTCCCGTGGTTTTTATCCTTCACATCGAAGGGGTTTTCCACGTATAAAAATCGTGTGTCGTTTGCATCTTTATTCTTCATATTTGGTTGTGGTTTATTTGATGTGTTGCTGATTTTGTGTGCTTGGTTAATCAATTGTGGTAAATTGGGTTAAGTGTTTGGTTGGTTGTCTTGAAGTTGATCCTTGTAGGTGTCGTATCCTACTTGTTGCTTCTCCCCCAACACCCCAGAGCTGTGCCATTGGCGGCGGCGGCCTGGTCACACGCCAGCGGGACCCTCCTCCGGCACCCACCGGTCCGGTTCCCGGCGTGCCATTGCTGGCTGTTCCTGGGGTCGAATCCGGGCAAGCAAGAACAAATAGGTGAGGCTTCTGGGTCGCAGCTCCCAAACGGGCCACAGACGCCGTAGCTTTCGCATGGATTATTATTATTCCCCGACGAGCTGTTCCCTTGTGCCGTGCCGAGTCTTGGGCGGGAAAAACAGAGGAGGGCGATGAACACATGGAAAAGGTTCAGATTTTTAGGCATGCCCATTATTTCCTCTTTCTTTTTCGGTCGTCATTATTTCAGAGTAAATATAATGGAAATGCTCTAAGAAATTGAACGTAACGCTTTGTGTGAAAAGGCTATACCTATGGTTAGAACTCCACCGGTCAAAGCCCATAATGCGTGGAGTTTTCAACTCTATCATTTCTCTAGTGCGATACCCGCTCAGTGCTTGGACTTTTTGATCAAATTTCAAATTTTGAAGTGGAATTGGTCAAATATACGAGTAGAAGATTCTCTTTTTGTCTTTTTCTTCTCCTACTCCTTTTTTGGAAAAAAGTGTTGATTTAGACTATATATCTCCATTAAGAGTAAGTACTACTCTCTCCGTCTCAGAGTATTTGTCCAGTTTTGACTTTTGAAACTGTTCATTTAAGCACTTTGACTTATCAAATTCTCTCAATGTGTAAGACTAAATATAGTCATGTGTGATCTTGCTTGATTTGTCTTAACATATAGATTATTAATGTATAATTTCTATAATTTTTTAATATACAAATTACAAGATAAAATGGATTAAAAAAGTGTATTGGATGGTGTGTAAAAATGAAAGTGGACAAATACTCTGGGACGGAAGTAGTATTTCACTTGTAAGTTATATTAATTATATAATTCGAGATGAATATAATAAAGGAAAAGTTATTCAAAATAATCTCAACTTTACCCGGTTTTTCAAAAATAATCCCACCTTTCACTGTGATGCATAATAATCCCAACTTTACTGAAATTTGCCAATTTTGGGTCGCCGTTAAGTTTCTAACGGAGGGTTAACGAAAATGCCCGTTTTAGGCAACAAAATGATAGTTGGGATTATTTTTGATGAATTTTCGTTGTTTTTATTTTTTTTTAAAATTTTTCATTTTAATTTTTTAAATTACTTTCTACCTCCATCATAATTTCTTTTTCCTTTTTTAAAGATTAGTCTTAGTTTAAAAAATAAAAATAATAGATATAAAAAATGAAAAAAATGAGAAATGTAACCAAAATGATACAAAAATAATAAAATAAATAAGGTAATCAATGGAAACTAACTTGAAGTTGGTAAAATTAAAGTAAAATAAAAATATACGGGTGGGTTTTAATATTTTACGCATTATACAAAGTATTAACATATCACTTCTTATTTTTTAGAAAAAAATATGTACAACAATTCCAACTTTACCGGACGGCTTGTTCTTTTAAAAAATAAGTAGTACATTAAGACTCCGTATAGTGAGTAAAATGTTAAAACCCACCACTC